GTAGCAGCAAAGGGTATAGAATAGTATCTGCATTGTAGAACTGCCCTGCAGGGTGGTGCTGGTAAGGAGACGGCACAGCACGTTATTCATTCAGTATCTTGTTAGGTGGAAGCAGGAGTGGCATCCACTTCCTAAATAGCACGCCTCCAGAAACACTGTGAACTTTGATAAGTGTCGATGGTTGTAGAGGGGCTTCAGGCCTTCTCTTCATAGGGTCACTATGAGTCATGCTCGACTCGAAGGCAATCAACAACAACCGTCTTGTTATACACCTCACACAGCAGTGGCCTGGATCTTTTAGGTCAACTCACTCATTGTTATCAAGTCAAAACCGACTAGTCATAGCTGACCGTCCAGCCACGTACTGTTAGAGCAGCCCCGAGGGTCAGGGATCACCTGTGTTTTGTTACTTGTGCCTATGCCCATGGTTTTTCACCAGCGGTGTTAGAATTCCTTTCTTAATGTTGTTGTTGTTGTTGTTGTTATGTGCCGTCGAGTCGTTTGTGACTCATAGCGACCCTTTCTTAATGTGGTTCACAAATATTTGCTGAACAGTTTTTCTGAGGAAGGTTGGGGATATCAATGTTGAAAATGCCCAAACTCTTCCCTGGAGAGACCTCCATTCTAATTCTGCTGGAAGGAGGTGGACAGTGTCTCTCAGGTGACGGATGCTGTGGGCAGGACTGGAGCGGGCACAGAAACCAAGCTTCCCCAGGCGGGAGGACTGTCCCCGTGAGCCTTGCTGAGATGCCCCAGGAGATCTGGACTTGGCCACAGCACAGCAGCTTGCCTCTGGTCTTGTCAGGAGAGGACACCTCCTCCCAGTGATGGGCCATTTCCTGACGTGGGTTGATGGGGTCTGGAATCTCTGGGAAGGTGGGGTTTCTGCCGAATTCTTTAGCTGGGTTTGATTGCAGTCAAGGAGGTGGTGCATGGAGAGGGTGGAAGGTCTGGGGAGACAGACTCCTCAGGACACAAATCTGCTCCTAATCTGTGAAAGAATGGTCCTCGTCACCCCCCACAGGATCGGTCAATGTCTTTCCTTCCCTGTTTTCAGGGCTGTGAGTTGTGTCTGTAAACACAGAGGGTTTGAGGGTTCCTTCCCTTTGCCATCAGTTATATTTTTGTTTCTCCTTGGAAAATGGGGCACGTCTTTGGTTAATAGACATTTGAGCTACCTGAAATGAAATGCCATGAATTCAGGTGACATGGGGCTGACAGGCTCGAGAGTGGGGCTCAGCTGTCCATGCTCCCCAGTCTGCTCACAGTCTCGCAAGAAGTAATCAGAAACAGGAGAAATGATAGCAGATGTCAGTTTAGTGTTGTCATTTGTCAAAGCTAAGATTGTCTTATCACCACGCTATTACCAGACCAAATTATGCTGCCTTTTATCCTCATGTTCACTGGGAAACATTCTTCACCCCAGTTCTTTGAGGTTTTTTTCCCTTTGGGTTTTTGTTTTAAATGCTGAGTCTTGCCAGCCCCATGGTTTCCTAGTCTGTAGCTGATGTTCACTACTATTCAGCTCATTCATAAAGTAGGTGTTGTTGTTGTTACGTGCTGTTCAGGAGAGGTGTGTTCAGAACTGGCTGGTCAGCGCCCAGCAAGGATGGCAAGGTCACAGACACAGAGATGCCCGCAGCACAACAGGTGACAGTTCTCAAAAGCTCCGCTCCTCTCACACTCTGCTCCCTTCTTCTGAGTTGTCTAGGGGTTCCTGCCCTCACTTTGAGGGAGGTGATTTTTAGTAATTACCTAGCTTGGAGAATGGCTTCTCATGACTTCTCCTGAGGAATCACATGTAGGGTGACTGTTCCCTTCACTGGTGACACTTGAAAGAGCACATCCCGTTCTGGACAGCTTAGATGGCTCATGGTCTGACCAGTTAGTGACTGTGTGTCATTAACCTGTGAGGGCATGACCAGTCTGGAGCAGAGGCTGACCTGAATTTTGCTCATGGAGGAGGGTCCGTCCTCCATCCGAGGATGCTCTGGTGCACTGTCTCCTCAGCCTGTGTCACTGCTATTCAGTATTCAGTCACTCAGACCTAGTAACAAGAGCCCATTCGGGGTGGACAAGAGAAGGAAAAGAGACCACCTGGTCCTGGGCAGGTGGACAGGTTCTCTGAGGAAGCGGTGCTCCCTGGATATGGACAGGAAGAGAGAAGAGGACAGACTTGAAGGAGAGCCAATGTGTGGGTGGGGTGGAAGCACATTTTGTCTTGCCCACTCTGTGCCTTCTCCACGCCCCCTTCTCAGTCACCTCGCCCTCCTGCTGGGCAGCCCCTGGGCTTGATGGCCAGTTTCTGGTGCACTTTAGACAGGGAGAGCCAGGTGGGGATGACCAGCCAGTGCGGCCTTGCATCCTAATATCAGCTCCACTGTTCTCTGTGGGGTCTCAGCAAGTCTGAACCCCTTGCCCCTCCAGCACCTCTACCTGTAACAGTGGAGGACAGTTCTGTATAGCCCTTGCCCCTCCAGCACCTCTACCTATAACAGGTGGTTACAGTTCTAGCCCTTGCCCCTCCAGCACCTCTACCTGTAACAGGGGGGCACAGTTCTGTGTAGCCCTTGTCCTTCCAGCACCTCTACCTGTAATGGGGCACAGTTCTGTCTAGCCCTTGCCCCTCCAGTACTTACCTCTACCTGTAACAGGGGGGCACAGTTCTGTCTAGTCCTCGTCTCTCCAGTACCTCTTCCTGTCACAGGGGGGCACAGTTCTGTCTAGTCCTCGTCCCTCCAGTACCTCTTCCTGTAACAGGGAGACACAGTTCTGTCTAGCCCAGGGGTGGTGGTGCTGCTTCTTCATGGCTCTCAGCGGCCGGGTGCTGTAGACGTTCTCAGCAGGGACTGCCTTACTCACCGTGTCTCTTTCTAAGATGTTAAACAGCTGAATGACAGTGTTTTCCATTTTTATTAGAAACATCTAGCTTTATGGCATGAGGTTGGAGAAGCGTGGGTGTTTATCTTCATGATACTTTGAGTTAGCAGTCTCGTGAAGAAAGTTGCTTTTCTGCCACTGAAGAGGTCCTCACCGTTCACAGCCATGTACATGGCCGAACACAGCGCCGGCTGGTCCGATGCCCTGTCTGTGCTCACTACCACGCTTGAGCTGATATTGGTAGTTGCTGTGTCAGTCCATTGAGTTGGTGTCTTCTTTTTTTCTCCCTGGCCCTCTGCTTACCAGGTATAACGTCATTTCTAGGTATTGGTGCCTCCGGATCACATGTCCACATTACATGTGACAAAGTCCCCCGTCCTCCAGTGGGGGAGAAGACTGTGCGGCTTCCAATATTTGCTTACTTCTCTGGTACTATATTGTTGTTATTGTTGTTGTTAAGTGCCGCCGAGTTGCAGGCGACTCATAGCGACCCTATGAAGGAGAGTCCTCTACACTTGGGTGCCTTTCTTCCTCTCTCCAGGTTCATACGGTTTCTGGAGGCAAGCTATTATGGAAGTGGATGCCACTCCTCCTTCCAGGCTACTATATTCAGTCCTCTTCGCTAACAGCATATTTCAAAGGCACCAGTTCCACAGTCTTCCTTCTTCAGTGTCCAGCTTACACATGTACATGAGTTGATGTCAAGGGTTTCTTAGTGCTTAAAGTCTTTGATTTTTATTACTATAGAGAGGTCCATGGGGACAGATTCACTCAATGCAATATGACAAAATTGAGTCATGTGAGAAAGTGAATGAATGGGCTTTCTTGGATGTTCATATAACATTATACACACACACACACACACACACACACACACAGAGAGAGAGAGAGAGAGTGTGTTTATGTGTGTACACGCACTTGTGCACCCCTACTAGGTTTGAGGCACTCTGGTGGCATAGTGTGTTCCACGTGTGGATGGCTGTTAACTGAGGGGTCACGGGTTCTCGTACACCAGTGTCAGGTGAAGATCTACAACCTCAGAAGCTTGATGGGTTGCTGTGACTAGTAACTTACGTGACAGCAGTGAGGTTTTTGGATTGATGTTGGATGAGGGTGTTTTCCCCTCAGAGCTGAGCCTGTAGAGTTGTGTACCCCTATCCATGCGCTGTGGCCTGTCCTACTGTTAATCTGTGGAGTGGCAGCTTCCCTGCCCACCTCCTGTCAGCCCCCAGGTGCTGTGTATGAGAAGGCAGCTGTGCCCGCGGGACCTGAACGCCCTGCTGGCACCATGCTGCCACGGCCCAGGCCCACCCACCTGCTTTCCTGTTACATGAAGCCTTTGGTGCTGAGCCTTGTTCCCTTCGCCGCATCCTGGTTGGAATGGGATAGTGCTGAGGAAGTAGACCATCTCCTCCTGTGCTGTGTTGTCTTTAACATGAGGTGAACTTCTGTAGTGTCAGGCCCTCCAGTGGGTACGGGTGAAAGAACGGCCGTGTTCCCCTTGATAAGCTTTCCTTCTGGTGGGCCGAGGGGGTAGCACTCCCTCCTTGTCTACTGCCCCATCCCCTGTGCCGTGGCTGGGCCAGGCCCAGGTCTCTGCACACCGCCGACATCGGGTCACCCTGCCCTCAGACCCCTGGTCTCCAGGGCCTTCGCGGAAACCCACCCAGTGGTCACTGATAGCGTTTTGTGGACAGTTTTGTGGTCAAGGTGTCAGACACACTCATTAAAACTTGGGACTCTAGAGAAGGGGTCCTAGTGGCACAGTGGGGTCAGTATTGGGCTGCTGCCCAGGAGGAAGGTGTGGTGGTCTGCCTCCATTCAGATCTGCAGCTGCAGGAACCCCCGGGCAGGCCTGTGGCGTCCTCCAGGACGCTGTGAGTCGGCGTGGGCTCAGTGACAGCTGTGTCCAGAGACTCGGCAAGCAAGTGTCTTTGATGATCCAAACCCTCAGCTTTCTGTGTTTGGGGTTCTGGCGTGTCCGTGCTGACCACTGTTTGTAGTTTGGAAATTGCAGAGTAGGCCATTGATTGGGATTTGAACTCAGAAACCACGCTGTTCTAACGCTGACCTCTCTCTCCCCCCCCCTTTTGTGTGTCTGTGTTGTTGTTTTCACACAGTGGTACTGATTACTATGATTATGGACATGGACTCAGTGAGGGGACATATGATTCCTATGGTGAGTGCTTTCCGGAAGGAACCCTGAATGGAGGGGAGATGGCCATAGGAAAGTCAGGGAGAACCCAGAGTGGAGAAGGGAGAGGCCACAGGAAGGTCAGGGGGAACCCCAAGGGGAGAGGGGAGACGGCTACAGGAAGGTCAGGGGGCTGTATGGAGGTGAGATGGCCACAGGAAGGTCAGGGGGAACCCCAAGGGGAGAGGGGAGCCGGACACAGAAAGGTCAGGGGGAACCCCGAGTGGAGAGGGGAGACGGACACAGGAAGGTCAGGGGTCTGAGTGGAGGTGAGATGGCCACAGGAAGGTCAGGGGGAGCCCCGAATGGAGAGGGGAGATGGCCATAGGAAGGTCAGAGGGAACCCTGAGTGGAGAGGGGAGATGGTCACAGGAAGGTCAGGGGAAACCCCGAGTGGAGAGGGGAGACGGTCACAGGAAGGTCAGAGGGAACCCCGAGTGGAGAGGGGAGATGGTCACAGGAAGGTCAGGGGAAACCCCGAGTGGAGAGGGGAGACGGTCACAGGAAGGTCAGGGGGAACCCCGAGTGGAGAGGGGAGTGGTCACAGGAAGGTCAGGGGGCCGAGTGGGAGGGGAGCTTTATGAAGACATTTCAGCTGCGAAACCACTCCACTCACTTGTGAGCATCTGTCTGTTGTCAGCAGTTCTTTTAATATTCACATTTAATATTACAAGAAAATGAAAGGCTTACGGAAAACTGGATGAATTCAGAGTCTGGGCTTGAGTCTTCTGTTTGGGTTGATTGCCACGTGCTGATGTGTGGATTCTGGAACGGTGCCATGTGGCAGACACCGGGAGCGGGGGTCTTTCTGGAGTGTTCTCGCTTCCAGACGGAAGGCACTGAAGTGCTTGAGACAGCAGTTCTGAAAGCCCCCCACCCCCACCCCACCTTCATGTGTCCATCCATCCTCAGAGTCAGGTGACAGGAGCCCCAAGCCTGGCAGATGTGCACCAGAACCTCCCTTACTGCAGAGGGTCCAGGCGCAGGGGTTCCTTTTCCGAATCTCCTTACGCAGGAGGACGAGTTTAATTAAAAGAATTGGTCGTAGCCACATAATGAGCATGTAGAGTGCCTTTACCGCAGGCCACAGAGCTCAGAGTACTAGAAGCTTCTCCTGAAGCCTCCATCTATCCTTTGGACCCAGTGCAAGCGAAGCCGGAACCTGCTTAATGGGTGTTATGACATTTCTCTGAACATAACTGAAAAGCCATTTTCCGTTTACTTTGAAGTAAGCTTTGTTCTATCACACCCCCCTCCCCGCTCCCCCCTCAGTCCCTGCCCCAAAGTTGCCATGGCTGCAACTTTTTTCTTTTTTCCTTTCGGTCCTAACAGACACTTAAGAGAAACACATTGGTTTGCTGAATGCTGTCTACTTAAATTGATGCAAGTTAGCTTGAGGGAATGACGTTGATTGCATGTTTGTATCAAAAGAAGAGGTCATTTGAAGCGTTTCCCTTCACAGCTCTCTAAATTGGTCTCTGTGGACAGGGCTGTTAAATTGTTCTGTGCTGCAGCAGGATGTTAACCATTGGCTGGCTGGCCCACTGGCAAGGCACTGCGGAGCTGGCCGTGGGCCAGGGCTGATGGGGAGGCCGGGGTGGGCTTGTCCTGAAAGGCCATTGTCCAGATGCCAGGCTTCCCGACAAATGGCATTTGACTTCGCACCTTAGGTTCACTTCTTAGTAAGTGTTACTGAGGGTGAGCTTCCGCCCCTGAACACTTGGCATCTGTCTTTGAAAGGACCTGCATTTCTCTCCCAATCATCCGTCCCCACTCTGTCTCCTGGCTTTGGTCTCCTTTACCCTCAAAGATCCATTCTTCCCTCCCATGGGATCCCTTCCCATTCATAAGCACAGTCTTTGTGTTTTGCACCAGGCTCACATCACTGCCAGGTAGGCTCTTTGCGTGCTCTCACCCTCCAAGCTCCCAGATCATTTTTTTTCCCTTCCTTTGCAGTTAGGTTTTGCCAGGGAGACCATCATTTTCCATTGTGTTTGTAAGTTTTTAGAAGTAAATACACTTGCCTTGTTTTTGTTTTATTTGCCTTTTGCTCCACATCAAGGTTAAACATCTTCGATATGGCACGGAGCACTGGGTTGCGTTAGACTCTGGGCTGATAGCGGCTGATGGTGAAGCCCACGGGCTCGGTGGCGGGATCTAATTGTCATTCGTTTTCCTTGTTTTAGGACAGGAAGAGTGGACTAACTCGAGACACAAGGCCCCTTCCTCGAGGACGGCGAAGGGGGTCTACAGAGACCAGCCCTACAGCAGATACTGAGTGTACTGTCTGATGTGAAATAGCCAATCTCCACCAGTCCTGTGTACTGTTCAAAGTAATTTTTTTCTATGAACAATCTCTTTTTAATAAATCAGAATGCTTAAAACGATTGAATGGATGGAATTTAAACTACTTTGTTGAAACGTCAACCGGGCAGAAAAAAAAAGACATGTAAAATTTTGTTATTTCTAGTCTGTATATGAAAAATAGGTCATCAAAAGGAAAACATAACTTTGATTAACTAGTGTTAAACCAAACAACTAGGTTTACTAAATATGTAAATCCATCCTTCTAACATAAGCCTCACCGTTCATTTTAAAGGTTTCCATAGAGCTTAGTTATTTTACCTTTCAGCCATATGCTAGTTTATTCTCTTTTTTCTCTCTCTTGCCAACATGCGTAAAAAGGGAAACCAATTTCAAGTGCAAATAATGTGGTCTTCTTTTGTAACTCAAGTCTTGAAATGTTCTGTAGTGTTAAGCAAAGTCTCTTCTTGCTTGATACTAAATAAACTTTTGAAAGAAATTTTGTGTGTGTGAGCTAACAGTCTCATGTTTTTCTTATTTAAAAAGGCCTTCCTAAATAGTGGTAAACAGGGCAAGAAGTCACCTTAACAACGCCTGGCATAAAAGGGTCACACTAAACATTGTACAGCTTCTTTTAAAATCTGGTATAAAATGAAATGTACCATTCTCTACCCACCGTAGATTTAAATGCCGTTTAAAGAATCCAAACGGGAGCCGGCTGCTTGAGTGGCATGCTTAAAAACGCCGCCGCAAAACCAAATCTCGTTTTAAAAAAAACTGCTCTTAAAATAACGACTGGATTTCCTGAAAAAGATGTGATCAGTGTTCATCCTGTTGAGCGTTTTTTCACTAGTGCAACTTTGGATTTTTTATGAGAATTTTGGTACCCTCCATGCTGGACAATACTAAGCACAGAGCTTTTAAAGGCACTCTGACTTGACTAATTGAGGCCGCACCCGTCAAGGCTGAGGATGTGAGCCTTAAACGGTCTTCATTTCCAAAGGTAAATAAATCAAATAAGATTTTAATCTCACTTAATTTATCTTAATATAACTAATAAAATCAGGGAGATTACCACCTAGCCAGTGTCATGATCCATTTTAGAAAGGCTGGCCAAGCACCTAAATTCTCATTTTAAAAAGTTTAATTTGTTGTAGTCATTTAAAAAAGCCTTAGTTCAGTCAGTTTAATTGGGGCCAATTACTCCCTATTAAACAAATGTAAAACCTCATAATTAGTCGTTTGTAATCCATTATTTGGTGATAAATGTGAATAATGGAGGGCACTTCTTAAAACTGACAGATCTTAATAAAGTTTTGCTTGTAATCATTCGGCTTAACTCTGGTTTGGAAACTATAGATTGTGTAAACTGCGTCATTTTTATGTCTTGAGAGGAGTGCTTGTATTTATCTCGAGTAACAGAGTCGTCTTCTTTTGTTAGGAAATGCCAGCCACCTTGGAAAGCGAAAGGACGTGATTGTGCTCCTCCGCACACAGAGGTAAGCGCCCTGTTCTTCCAGTGACACCTTGTGCTAAGGGAACTGCGCACCTGTTGAGAGCAGCGTGACAATGTCCCCTGGTCCCTGTTACCATCTCATACCTCCAGTCAGGAGGAAAACTGCCTGAACATAACAAATGAGGGCCTCATCACGCTGCAGAAACCAGAGGCTTGGATCAGGCAACAAGGATTCACACGTCTGTCTTCCGTAAACACAGCACCCTTGACTCTGTAACGTGGAAGAAGGTCATTAACACTTTAAACACTAGAAGGGTAGGCGCTTCTTAGCACACAGACAACCAAACAAGACTTCTTGGACAGCATTTGCTCAGGGAGAGAACGCAGAAGGAAGAGCATAGAAGGGTGAATGGAACGGGAATCTTAGGGAGGAAGCAGGAAGCTGCACAATCCAGGGATTTTAAACAGCTTCATAAAATGAGGAATAAGAAGAGAGGAGTGGAAAACCAACTTTCTTTTAAACTTTCATTCCCATCACAGTAACAAGAGGGAGAAAACTAAACTTTGAATGTATATAATCCAAATGTTGTTTTTTAAAAAACTGTCTACAATCTCCTTCTCTCCCTATGTATTTAAAATTCTAAAGATAGCCATCAACACTTCTGACACTAGTTGTCTTCGACGTAGGGAGTATGAATTCCTTGTGTACTGTTGTGCATTACCTTTGGAAGAAGCACTCGCATTGTAGTGTGTGAAGTGCTGGAGAGCTGACGGAAGGGTTGGTGGTTCGAATCCACCAGCTACTCCAGGGAGAACAATGATGCAGTCTCCTTCCGTCAGTGATTGCAGCCTCGGAAGCTCCGTGGAGACACACCATAAGGCAGAGTGGGCTGAACGGCAGTGAGTCTGAGTGGGTTATGGTAAATGTACTGTGTGCTTTGCAAAATTATCTCATCAGTACTTTTTAAAAAATCTAGCTCTGGTGGCCTAGTGGTAAGAAGCTGCGCTGAAGTCTAGAAGGCACATGGTTCAAACCTACGAGCTGCTCCATGGGAGAAGGATGGGCATTCTCCTTCCATGCGATTAACGACTTCTGAAAACTCACTGGGAGGGTCAGCTATGGGTCAGTTCTGGTTTGGTGCACTCAACAAGAACAAACAGGTCGTTGTTAGGCGCTGCAGTTCTGAAGGCAGGCAGTTCGAGGCCTCCAGCTGCTCCATAGGAGGATGGGCAGTCTCCTTCCATGTGGTAACAGCCTCTGAAAAGCTGCTGAAGGCTCAGCTGTGGTCACTTCTGACTCGATGCTACCTAACAAGAACAGGTCATTGTTAGGAAAAGGGATCATTAATTTGTTCTCACTTTTCAGGTAGCCTTGCTTTTTTGGTCTCACCCATCCAGAAACACAGCGTAGGCCCTCATCTCCCATGTTTCTCGATTTTACAGAAGAAATGTGCCCGAGTGTCACTCCTGTGGGGCTTTGGTCTCATTCCCCTGCCCCGCTGTGAGTGTGAGCCTTGTCCACGGAGCCATAAGAATGAAGTGAGGTGATAGGAAGACAGAGCTTTGGAACATGGGAAATAACAGCCTTCTGTGAAGTCCTGTGTGAATGTCGAGAACACATGTGACATGCATGTGGGAAATCTGACAGCCACGATCGCACCGACGTGATTGGATCGCCTTCTGTTAGAGAATGGGGCTCTTCACGCTTATAGACCTAAGGTCATCTGAGTTCTTTGTTGCTTTTGCTGGACAGAAATACCATGGAGGCCACACGTGGAGTCTTATCTGTGTGTGTGATGGGACAGAAGTCTCTTTTCCTTTATCATAAATAGTGAGGAATTTCTTGGAGGGAGTGCTTGAGAGGACATTTTGTTTTGTTTTGTTTTTAAGAAATTGATCTATCTCCTAATAAATGCATACAAGAAACTGATGGTGCAGTATAAAAGCACTCAGCTGCTAACCAGAAGGTCGGTACTTCAAGCCTACCCACTGCTCCATGAGGGGAAGCTGGGGCGGTCTGCTCCTGTGAAGATGGACAGCCTTGGACGCCCTGCAGGGCAGGTCTCCTCTGTCCGACGTTGCTACATCGCCATGATGACCAAGCATTCTCTGCCAGTCACTGTCCTTACCACATTCCATATTCTCTTTCACTGAATTGTCACAGTGCGTGGAAGAGAGTAACCGTCGTCTCCACTCTATTAAAAAACCCAAAACAAAACAACAAGCCTTTAGCTTCCAGAGGTGAGGTCACTCCCGCAAGGTCGTACACCTTGTAACGGCAGCGCTAAGATGTGACTCTGCTTCAGCCCAGAGAGTCTGCCTTCGGCACACCGTCATGCTGTCCACTCCTGTGCTCGCTGTTAGAAGAAAGGCCCAGGAGAAAATGGACCAAGTCCTGGGTTACCTCGTTCCCCTCAGAGCACTGACCAGCTGTTCTGATTGATAACTTGTCTCCCCTTCTCCCTCTCTATCTGGCCCACCCACGATCCTCTTTGCCTAGAAGCTTGCCCCACCCCCCACGTCCCCCTCCAGGTGATGACAGCCCCCTCACGTACTTTGCAGACCTCTGAGTGTACTAGTGAGGGGTCCCAGGCTGCAGCTGCAGAGTGAGGGCTTCAGGGATTGGGGCCCTGCCCACCGCTTCCCCTAACACGGTGCGCCACACAGGAGGGCTTCCTGCACCAGTGACCAGAGTGAACGAGTGGTGAATGAGGGTGGTCGCTGGGATTCTAGACAGGCTGTGACCAGCTTGGTGAGGAATGGTTAGCAGAGACCTAAGAGTAAAACTGAACTGATTTAATTAAACACACAGTCGGGTTCACTGAGATTGTGCTCCAGGTTGAGGGGTCTGATGCCCCCAATTTAACTTCAAGTTGCACGAGATCTCAGCTCATTGTGAGCAGAGACTGGGTCCCAGAGTGAGACACTGATGAGTTGTAGATGTTGTTGTCTGTACCGTCCAATCAGAACCGACTCAGATGACCCTCCAGTGGGTTTTCAAAGGCGGTAGATCGCACACGAAGAGATTGCCCACCCTTCTCTTAAAATAACAAGATGACTTGAGGAGAAAGTAAAAATAGAGTCAAAGATAATTAACCAAAATGTAGGCTAGGGCATGTCTGGTGATGGTGAGGAATCTCGTGTAGTGATGGCTGTGTCAGCAGTGATGGCTGTGTCAGCAGTGATGGCTGTGTCAGCAGTGATGGCTGTGTCAGCAGTGCCTGCTGTGTGTATTGGTGTCTGTCGTCCTGAAGAACAGGGAAAAAGTGGTTCACAGTCTGTTCAAAAGTGCAGGATGTGTTTACAGTTGATAATCTTCTCTTCTTGGACCAAACAAGGCTGTGGGTCATTTCTAAATCCAGCTGTCACCCTCCATCATCTGACAGGATATCCTACCATTTGGGGTCCCTTCTTAGTGGACATGGTTTGAGGAAATCTGCCGGTGGTTGTTACCTCTCAGTGATGATGGGGCTGTTTCTCAGATTATAGGAGGGCGAGCCCTCAGCTGCTCCCAGGGCTTTCAGGATGAACTCAGACCCCATAGCCATGAGCACAAAGCCCTTCTCAGCTCGGATCCCCAGCGTGCCCACCCTGATCCTGCCCCGCCATGCTAGATGCCCCAGCACCGCCGTGTCCTGGTCCACATGCAGTCACAGGCCCACAGCCCACGCATCCAGCTGTGCGCCAGGTGCTTCAGCCACAGTGCCCGGCAGTGGGCACCCTGCCCTCCTCACTGTCCACCCTAGAACAGGATCTCCTTCCCACAGCTGCCTGCCCTTGTGCCCAGGCGTTGGTGGGTGAAGGAGCAGCCTCCCTTGGTGAGGGAATTGGGATGGGCATGCCTCAGCGGCTCACAGGACAGGGGTCCCCATCCTTCAGTCTGGACAGACAGCCGAGGGCTTGATCACAGGGGGCTGAGAGGGTAACCTGGAGCTGCACGCAGAGCCTGGGGATCCCCGGGAGCTGCGGTGTCACCCTCGTAGCTGGGCCTTAGCCTCCTGATTGCCACCTGGTTTGTTTTGCTGTGTATGTTTTGGTTGTGT